GAGGGTATGTGCTATGGTGAGCGCTGTGAATTGTGTAAGACTGATGAATCACAGACCTATACCCCTGAAACAAATAATACATTATATGTTAATTTAAAAAAAAAGAATCTGTGATCAGAACCCACATGGACTTTGGGGCCCAGATTCCCAGGACATGTGTAGTTCAGAAACCATTAAGGCTAGCACCAAGCAGAAGAAAACACAATAATTTCTGGAGAAATAAACCCTCAAGTCAGGCTTCGAAAATTTCCCACAGATAACATTCTGACAAAATTGAGCTCACAGTAAAAAATGACAAAACACACAAAGAAACAAGATGCCATGGGAGTCAGCGGAAACAATAAAAAGCAGAATCATTCCTGCAAGGACATCAGGTATTGGAGTTGGCAAAATATAAAATATCCTTAATAGATTTAAATAAGTGGAAAACATAGGGAAAAAGGAATCTACCAATGGCAAGACAATTAGTAAAACTAAAAGCAAGAAAGTCATTACTATAAAATTTAGAATAGTGGTTATCCTGGAAAGGAAAAACAATAGTGACTGGGAAAGAGCATGGGTGGCATTTGGGAGTTCTGATGATATTCTGTTTCTAAATCTCTAAGGTCATTACACAGACTTCTGCTTTGTCACAAATCTTCCAGCCATGTATTTTTCTATTCAGTCCATTTTCTGTCCATTTTCTGTATGTGAATTGTATTTCAAAAATTTTATTATGTAAAAATAAATGTTAAAATATTACATTTTATGTAATAAGCTTAGGTAAAACTAATGAAAATTGAAATGTAAAATTCAGTGGACAGCTTAAATTGAAGACTGGATCCAACAAAGATAACTAATGCATTGGAAATTAGATAAGAAGAAATTAAACAAGATAAAAGTCTGAGAGAAAAAGAAATGGAAAACAAGAAAAAAAGAATAAGGGAGAGAAAAGAGAGAATGGAAAAGAGAAGATCCAACATATATCTAATCAGCATTCCAAAATGAAAAACCAGAGAGATGGGAAATAACTGAGAATTTTTCAGACTTAAAGATATCAATCCTCAGTCCAGAAATAGTAATAAATGCCAATTGATATGGTAAAAAATAAAACCCACTTAGAACAAAATAATCAAATTGCATGGTCACAAATTGCATGTTAGTCAAAGACTAATGAGATATTAAAATTATCCAGACAGAAAGGAAAAATTACAAGCAAGGCAATAAAATAATTAAGACCAGTGGAAGCCAGAAGATAGTAAAATACTCAAGAAACTGAAATAAAATTATAGTCAACCTAAAATTATATACATTCAATGAAACAGTCCTCAAGAACAAGAATGCTTAAAACTATTTTAAAGAATCAAAACCAGATATTTTAGAATATAAATAGAATAATTCCATTGAAAACTTATTAAGTGTGCTCAATAGCAAAATGGAGATGATATTATAGAGGAAACAGTCAATAAAACTGAAGCTACATCAATAGAAATTTTCCAATCTAAACAATAGAAAAAATAGTCAAAATTGAACCAAGTCTGGGGCACCTGGAGGGTGCAGTTGGTCAAGCATCCAACTCTGGTTTCAGCTCAGGTCTGATCTCAGGGTCATGAGATTCAGCCCCATGTCAGGCTCTCTGCTCAGCACAGCATCTGCTTGAGACTCTTTCTCCCTCTCCCTCTACCCCCATGCTCTCTCTCTCCCACTCCTTCTCTTTCTCTCTAAAAAATAAATGAATAAATCTTTAAAAAACATTAAACCAAGTCTTAGAGACCTGTAGGATGATACCAAAAGGTCTAGCATTCATGTCACTGAAGTCTCAAGAAGGAGAGGAGAAAGAGTATCATGTAGTAAAAATATTAGAATAATTAATGGTTAGGGCGCCTGGGTGGCTCAGTTGGTTAAGCGACTGCCTTCGGCTCAGGTCATGATCCCAGGGTCCTGGGATCGAGTCCCGCGTCAGGCTCCCTGCTCTGCGGGGAGCCTGCTTCTCCCTCTCCCACTCCCCCTGCTTGTGTTCCCTCTCTCGCTGTGTCTCTCTCTGTCAAATAAATAAATAAAATCTTTAAAAAAAAAAAGAATAATTAATGGTTAGAAACTTCCCATATTTGGAAAAGATATAAACTTATGGGGTCATGAAACTCAGCAAACTCCAAACAAGATGATTGCAAAGAAATTCATAAACTACTGAAAACCAAAGGGGAAAAAAACTGGAAAGCACCCAGAGAAAAATGACACATCATATATAGAGAACAATGATTCAAGTGACGGCAGATTTCTCATCAGTAGCCATAGATGACAAAAGGCAATGAAGTAATATTAAATACTGAAAGAAAAGAAATATTAACCTAGAGTTCTATTTCTAGACAAAAAATGTCTTTCACGAATTAAGGAGAAAAATAAAGATATTTTTAGATGAAAGAAAACTAAGAGAATTTGTTACCAGCAGACCTGTTCTAAAAGAAATAAATGCCAAATGAAGCTTATTAGGTGGAAAGGAAATACAAAATTTAAAAAGTCAGGAATCAATAAAGAACAACAGAAATGGTACTTATATGGGTAAATAGATTATTTTTATACCCTTAAGATCCTTAAGATAATTTGACAGCAAATATGTATAAAAGCAAAACTTAAAACATAAATATTTTCTGGTGGGGCTTTTAATGTATCTTGACA